TCTGATATCCAAAAACACGACAATAGTTTGTCGTCTGTATGTGTGGCATTGCAAAGATTTGATTTAGGCAACCACGGCGTGAACGAAACCCGGCCTGCTCTTCGCGGATGTCTTTTCGTGAAATGGGTTTAATCTGCGTAATAAAACGGAAGCTAAACGCGTCGGTGCCATTGGAGTCAGACTTATATCCCTGTGGTTGGAACAGGCGCTGCGAGAGCACTTCCTGTAGATTGGTGTAACAATCGATTCCCCCCCCCCCACGTGTGGGGTACACTTTCAGCTTCCTAGATCTTGGAGAACCGTCTGACAAGATCTCTTGCCATTTTTAAAGGGGGCCGGTGGCAGGTTATCTGATCCAGACGCCTTGTGGCGTTTCAGGACTTGGAGTTCCTTTCGGGGGGCTGGCTGAACTGCGATGTTAAGTGCTCTACACAGCGTTCCAAGCGTCGGTGAGGACTGTATGCTGACTCATCTACTACATATCTACTTCGCGATTGTTTCACCAACGCACTGTCTTTTGGGGCCCGTAACACGGATAATTTGGAACAGGCAAGTCAGAAGACAAATACTGCGAGAGGAATTCCTTTCATATACTCCCGTTAGTTGCTTACGTATAACATATAACAAGATAGACAAATGAATTGAATCAAGAAATCTAGTTAGGCTTTATCGTATGTGTGTATGCGTGTGACGCACATAATTGGTTACAGCCAGGGCGGCGCAGAAAATTAACCATTAGGAAAATAGGATAAAGATAGACTGTCGGTATTTGAACACCGCTGTCTACACAGCATAGCACAACTCTGGTGGGGCAGCCCGACGAGCAATGCTGAGGTTAGGCGCAGAGTTTTAAGTAACCGTGGTCGACCTTCATAGATTACTTTGGTTGGGGCATGTGTTACGCATGTCACCAGATAGGTTGCCACGCCATGCGATGCTTTCCGAGACAGGTAGTGGATGGAATAAAGTCAAGGGTGGTCAACCGTTAGGCTCCCTCCCTGGGGACCTCGGAATGATCGTAGCCGAGGGTTAGAGACACTGAGTGATATGACTGAGTGTCGTAAATAGTGGCGTTCGTGCACCTTCCCAATTTCTTTGCAACCTTAGTCCACTGGAATTCTTTGTTTTCCATTCGACTCTACTTGCAACCTTTCTCCTACTGTTCATCCGAATGGGTAGCCAAAAGACAGTAACCAAAACCGGCGCACGAAAGTGCATGGTTAAGGGTCGTACAAACTGAACAAAACTTACAGCCAGGGAAGGTTAAGGGTAAAGGTCATACGCTTTTGGACACAACTTGGTTCTTTATGATCGACCGATAATACCTCGAGTATTCTTAGTTGGTGTTTGTCACGATGACGTAACAAAACTGTGTAACTTACCATTGAAAGGCTTAAAGAAAATGTATTGGACTTCGAACCTCGAGTGCACTTGTTTCTCAAT